CGTGACGCTACCAACCAATCAAATGGCTTAACAGTTCTGCTTCCCAGCGCGGCCATCTGTCTGCTGCTAGGTTTACACGTTCTATTTCGTCTAGTCTTAGCCCTTAAGCTAGCTGCTATTGGAAGGATGATCTCCGCATCAGCCAATCATGAAGAGCTTAAATGTACGCCCACCAATAGTGGGCCCCCTCGTGGTATATAACCGCAGTGACCCCACTGCTCACCTCCTTTTTCTCTTCATTTAGCCGATTTAGCGGCTCAGGAGTCCGCAGGTGCGGTGTGTGTGTCACTCACTCTGGTTACTCCAACAGGGAGCCGGCTCTGAGAGCTGTTTCTTTAGCGACCGACACATCACTGCATCATTCCCTTTCCTAATGTCCTGAAGAACGGTCCGGAGCGCAGGCGGAGTGTTTAGCTAACCTGCAGGAAATGTTGACGACAGTTATCCAGAAAGTAGCTAAGGGTTACCAGAGATGTTTCTGAGGTGTTCGCTAGGTACTTTTAGGATTTAAAAAGTCAAGAAGGGGGTCTGAGAAGCTGCTAGAAATAGCGTCAAAGTCACCAAGTTGGCAACACTGTGGAGGAGCGCTTCATTTGCAACTCAGGGCAGCGCAAGTGAGAGGAGCAAATAATCGGCTTGTTTTGTTTTTTATAATCGTTCAAAACTCAGATCGTAATCGTGATTAAAATTCGATTAATTGAGCAGCCTTAAGTATAATACACAGAATATGAAGGATATGAGATCTATGGTGTAAAAAGTCGGCCTAATTTTTGGTGTAGTGGTTGCTACCACCGGGGCTCACTGTGTTTCAAAGTGGACAAAGCTTTATCCATAAGGCATCAATAAACAATCACATGAGTCCACACAGATCAGAAGCCCTTAGCCTGTAAACTCTGTGGTCAAAGATTTCTCCAAAAGACAACTTTAAACAGACACATGAGAGTCCACACAGGGCTCAATGAACTCCTTTAACTACACAAGTACCAAAAAGATCATTGTAGTATCTAGATCCTAGATAGTATTGCAACCCTGGTTGTTGTCCTGTACCCTAGATCAGGGTCTCTTCCAGACCATGAGCCACCTCTTCCTGTCCTGCAAGCCCCATATTGTGGCCACTAAGCTGTAAATGTTTCCATCAAGAGGTGGCTCAGTATTGTTACACAATGATGAGCTGCTGACCTAAGGTCTCACTTTTAGAGTGTTGCTGAAAAGTGTAGAACGCCATTTAAGGCTTAATCCGCCTAGCCTGCTGGTGGTGGTCAGAGGGATCGGTGTAAAGCACTTACACCCCGCTTCTCCTCCAGCTTCACTGGCTGCCAGCCAACTTCAGGGTTCATTTCAAGATCCTGGTTCTGGTCTATAGGGCCTTACATGGACAAGCACCATCTTACATTGGTGATCTTAGTCCCTACACCCCCAGCAGGTCCCTGAGGTCCAGTGACCAAAGCCTACTGGTTGTGCAGCACCAGGCTAAAGGTCAAAGGTGACAGATCATTTGCTGCTGTGGCCCCCAGACTCTGGACCTCTCTCCCCCTGAGCCTGAGATCAGTGGACTCAGTGGTCTCCTTTAAGAAGCAGCTGAAGACTCAGCTGTTCAGGCTGGCTTTGAGAACAGTCTCTCCTGCTTCCTAAAGCTCTTTATTTTATTTAGGATCTGAACTAATCTTATCTATTTAAGAGCATTATAACTTGTTGTGTTTCTGCCTTGCTCTCTCTTTCACACTGGAAGCTTTTATAGAATATGGTCTGTTAATCTGTTCTATTCTGTTTTAATAAACCTTCGCTCACCTGCGCTCCAGCCTTCCTGTTTTTGATTCCCAGTGTCCATCAGCTGTGCAGCACCATTTTGTAAGTGGGTGATGCACAGAGTGCTCTGCTCTGTAAGATGAACACATCAAGCTCCTGGCTGATGGTAGTCTCTGTCTTTGTGTCCAATGATGAAGCCTGTCTCCATTGTCCTATCACTAACCCATGGTGCTCTGGAGACAACCCGTCCATAAACACCTCAGAAACTGAAGACATGATTCTGGACTTGAGTGAAAAACACAACAGTTACACATGTACTATATCTTTATACTGAGTATTTATTATATTATATTACATATGAGGAATATTTATTCTAAATAGAAACTTATGTTTTACTTTTGCCCATCAGAGCTCAGAGTGGTCAAAACAAGAGCGTCGCCCTCTGGTGGCCTCATTAAGCATTACATGAAGCTCTAATGACCAAATCAGCACCTTCCCAACACTTTTTATTTGTTTCTCAGAGCTGCTAAAAATAAAAGTAACCACTTCAAAAGTTTCTATCACATTCTTTATAGAAAGTAAGATTTTTTAGTTTGTTTAAAGTTCATAAGCTGAGGAGGGAGAAAGAAGCAGCCCACAGAGCCGAGGACAGAGAAAGCTATAAGGGCGCTAAGTACAGGTTCTCAAAAGAGTTGAAGAAGGCGAGATCTCGGTACAACAAGCGACTAAAGGAGCAGTTCTCTAACAATGACTCCGCCTCTGTCTGGAGAGGGCTCAGGCAAATCACAAACTACAAGCCCAGAGCCCAACATGCTGCTGACGACCTACAACTGGCTGAACAACTCAACTCCTTTTATGCAAGGTTTGAAGTGCAACACCCATCCCCCACACCCCCTACTGCACAGGTTTCTTCAGCCACTCTGGTGTCACGTGCCTCCCCCTCCACCTTCATCACTGTGAATAGTACAGTCCCCGCTGACCACCCCTCCCCCTCCACTGCCTTCTCAGTGAAAGAAAAGGATGTGCTCAGGGTTTTCCGTAAGCAAAACCCACGGAAATCCCCGGGCCCGGACGGTGTCTCCCCCGCAACCCTGAGACACTGCACAGAGGTACTGTCTCCAATCTTCACGGACATCTTTAACATCTCCTTGGAGACCTGCCATGTTCCAGCCTGCTTTAAGCTTTCCACCATTGTCCCTGTCCCTAAGAAACCCCGTGTCACTGGACTGAATGATGACAGGCCTGTGGCGCTGACGTCTGTAGTCATGAAGTCTTTTGAGCGCCTGGTCCTCCCTCATCTCAAGTCCTTCACCTCCCCCCTCCTGGACCCTCTGCAGTTCGCATACAGAGCTAATAGGTCTGTAGACGACGCCATCAACCTGGCCCTCCACTTCATCCTGCAGCACCTGGACTCCCCGGGAACCTACGCTAGGATCCTGTTTGTGGACTTCAGCTCTGCGTTCAACACCATCCTCCCTGCTCTGCTCCAGGACAAGCTCTCCATGCTCAACGTACCCAACTCCACCTGCAGGTGGATCACTGACTTCCTGACGGACGGAAGGCAGTGCGTGCGGCTGGGGAAGAATGTTTTCACTACTCAGACTATTAGCACAGGATCTCCACAGGGCTGTGTACTGTCTCCTCTGCTCTTCTCCCTGTACACAAACTGCTGCACCTCGAGCCATGACTCCGTTAAACTGATCAAGTTTGCGGACGACACCACCCTCATCGGGCTCATCTCTGACGGTGATGAGTCCGCCTACAGGAGGGAGGTGGAACGGCTGGTGTACTGGTGCAGCAGCAACAACCTGGAGCTCAATGCTCAGAAGACAGTGGAGATGATTGTGGACTTCAGGAAAGTCACAGCCCCATCTCTCCCCCTCGTCCTGTCGGACACCCCCGTCACCACTGTGGACTCCTTCCGCTTCCTCGGAACCACCATCACACATGACCTTAGGTGGGAGCCATCCATCAGCTCCCTGATCAAAAAGGCCCAGCAGAGGATGTACTTTCTGTGGCAGTTGAAAAAGGCCAAGCTGCCGACCCAGATGATGGTGCAGTTTTACACGGCCATCATTGAGTCCATCCTCACCTCCTCCATCGCTGTGTGGTACGCTGGAGCCACGGTGAGGGACAAACACAGACTGCAGCGCATTGTGCGCTCTGCTGAGAAGGCCTTCCATCTCTCCAGGACCTGTACGTCTCCAGGACTCGGGGGCGTGCAGGTCGGATAGCAGCTGACCCTTCTCACCCGGGTCACAGACTTTTTGAGCCGCTTCCCTCAGGCAGGAGGTTACGGTCCATCCAGACCAGAACCTCCCGCCATAAGAACAGCTTCTTTCCATCTGCCATTAGACTTGTGAACAGCTTATAAACACACCACCATGCTCGTCTTCTGTACTCTACATAACGTCACGTTATCGGCCATGTTACCATTACCTGCCATTTTTTATAGCAAAGTTTTATGCTAGTTTATTATATTTTATTCTACTTTATTCTATTTTTAATTATATTATTCATGTTATATGTAGCACGTTAGTACCGAAGCAAGTTCCTAGTTTGTGAATTGTTTGTTCACTGACAATGGCAATAAACCTATTCTGATTCTGATTCTGATAAAGAATAAAACTGGTCAGATTTAGATTAAAAACATCATAAAGAAAAACCTATTTTACTTGTTTTTCGTGGCTTTTGAAGAGACCACCTAAAATAATAAAAATATAACATGTTATGTGTGTTTTATTAGTCCCATTCTGAACCCACGTGTGTTTTATTCTGCTCCAGCAGGTGGCGCTAGTGCACCTTTACGCTAGTCACCGACCACCAGAAGAAGCAGAACCCGGAAGCTGCTAGCAGAGCTAGCTTGTTGTTGTTGTGGTGTGTGTGTGAGGAGAAAGTTTGAGGCTCTGCAGTAAAAATGTCTTCACTTCAGTCTCTGGGAGAGTTGATCAGCTAAAGCGACTAACTGCTGCTGCTGCAGAAATCTTCTCACCGGGCTGTGGGAACTTTCTTCTCCTCCTCAACAACTTGGTGGAGTTCTTTCCAGAAGCAGAGAAGATATTCTGCGGTCTTCGTGACAATCGGAGCTCCAGAATCAGGTTGTGGGTGAGAAAAGCTTTTCTCTAGACTTCCTGCCCTCTGGATCTGCTGCTGGTCCTTTGGCCAGAACCAAAGCGTTGGATCTTTAATCTCCTGCGTTGTTCTGAAGCAGCATCTTAATCAGCTCTCCTGCTTTGTTTCTATTGCAGCTGTTAGCTAAACACGGCTAAAGGAAACCTGCTACCACTTCAGGATCATCCATCAGCTGGGACTGATTCATCGTGTGTTCTTCACCACCTGGACCTGGACAGCATGGACACAGGTAGGGCTGCCACCTTTCAGATATGGAAATAAGTAAATGAGTTGGAGAAGTGGGTTTTCTCTTAGACAGCTGTGTTATTCACACAGGTGTGAAACATCTGTAAAAGCCAGATCTGGTGCAGGAAAATGGCTGAACAGGGAGTGGGGACACACTTTTCCTTCTGCGGTTGTAAGTGATAATAATAATAACAATAATAATAATAATAATAATAGTAGTAATAATAATAATACATTAAACTTGTATAGCGCTTTTTAGGTCAGTCAGGCTTCACAAAAAAATGCAATAAACACATAATAAAACAACATGAAACATAGTAAACAGACTGGGGGATGCTGGGTTGATCTTAACAGAAGGCCAGTTTAAAGAAAAGGGTTTTAAGCAGTGACTTAAAAGTAGAAAGAGAGACGGCGTTCCTGATGTTTAGTGGGAGAGAGTTCCAAAGTGTGGGGGCAGCGGCTGCAAAGGCTCCATCCCCCATGGTGCCATGTTTTGTTCTGAAAGGAGGTTGGAGTCAGCAGAACGGAGGTGCCGGGAAGGAGAATGGCGATGGACTGATTATCTTTTTGATTTAAAAGTTGTGAAACTATTCAGAATTTCCGTGCTGCAATAAATGGTCTGCAGCGCTAAAGACACAAACAACATGCTTCCTACAGCCTCCACATGTGACTCCAGAGTGCAGTCGCTAAAGCCTGGTTCATGCTTCTCCGTCAACTCCGCAAGGGACAGACACGCACGGACTGACGGAAGCGGTTTGCTCTCATACTTCTCCGTCTCCTGGAGAGTGTTGCAAAGCAATTCCCCGGCAGGACAGCAGAGGGCGTAGCGCTGTTCTGTGGTATCCTGTCATGTATCGGTCCAGGGTCGTGTGTTTATATTGTGTTTTTTGTGTATATAAGAGACTTTTAACACGGACATATTTGTCTCTCATTCTCCTCCACCTCTGTATGCGCTCCCCACCTCTAAACCCACGTTTCCTGTCATTTCCGTCCACAAATAAAACGCTTGCTGCGCATCTTTTCACTCCTCCAGTCACGGAGAATTAAACATTCATGTTTTTAGAGTTTTTTCGCGAGGTATTCTTCAAGCTTCTCCGTGTCTGCCGCTAGTTATCCTCACCTCTCTTTGCAATGGTGGCGCTGTAAACAACAGCGGCGTCCTGACCAATCACAAGCTTGCGTAATCCGTCTCGTTCGATGGATGTTAAAAAAAGTGGGCTCGACTCCGTACGTACTTGCTTGCCTGCCGGAGCCCTACGCAAGGACGGATAATGGCGTTGCGTGTCTCCGCACTGACGCAGACGGAGACGCATGAATCAGGCTTAAGTCAGCATGCAGCTCAGTGAATTTAATGTCCTAGTCGAGTGGGTGGTGGTCTTATGGAAACATGAGAGCAAGTCAAATAGCAGCTTTAAGAGCACTCTGAGCAACAGCTGTTTTTCTACACATCTGCTCGTGCGGTCCACCGGCCAGACAGCTGAGCAGTTATGGCGTTCTTTTTAACTTTTCAACTCTATCGCTCCTTCTGTGTTTTTCTTTATTTTGGATCATGACCCCAAGGCTCTGGAATACCAGAGACTTCCTCATTCATTGGCAGCGGCAACCCGGACAACAGCCTTTCCGCCCTGTTCCTACGGATTTCTTTCCCGAGGAAATACTCCGTGGACACGGAAATTTGACAACTCATAAATACAAGGTGAACAGGAGGGGATTAAAGAAGGGTGGTGTGAGAGCGAGACTCAAGAGGGAAACACACAAACAACGAGCGCTCCCGTCCATCATCCTGGCCTATGTCCGGTCTCTCCGTAACAAGCTAGACGAGCTGCAAGCCTGCGTCAACCACTTGCATGAGTACCGAACTGCTTCTGTTCTGGCTTTCACCGAGTCATGGTTAAACAACAGTAACGATGACAGCACGCTGCACATTGATGGCTTTTCACCACCTGTTCGCCTGGACAGAGACCACGAATGCACCGGGAAGCAACATGGCGGCGGTGTGTGTCTCTATGTAAACAACAGCTGGTGCTCTACAGTCACTGTGAGGGAGAAGTTGTGCACCACAGATATCGAGCTTCTGGCTGTTTCCCTGTGCCCCTATTATCTCCCCAGAGAATTCCCACAGCTTTTCATCATCTTGCTCTACATTCACCCCAGAGCTGATGCTGCCAAAGCCACAGAGAACCTCATTAGCCGTCTGGACAAATTGGAACAATTATCACCAGACTCTCCCAAGTTCATCCTGGGTGATTTTAACCACTGCTCCCCTGACAAGTCGCTTAAAGGTTTTCAACAGTATGTTACATGCAGCACACGTCAGCAGAAGACTGGACAAATAATTCCAAGCTAATGAAGATAATTCTTCATAATCTACTTACTCCCACTTGGCAATATCTTCAGGAAATTTAAAATTCATTTTCACTGCTACGCCGATGACACCCAGCTCTACTTCTCTACCCAACCAAACCCCCCGCTCCCTTCATCCTCCCTTCTCAGTTGCCTCACCGAAGCCAAATCCTGGTTTTCTGCTAACTTTCTACAGCTCAACAGTAATAAGACTGAGATCCTCCTCACTGGCACCAAGTCATCTCTATCCAAGACCAGTTCATTCTCACTCAGCTTCGACAACACCACTTCTCCCCAGCGCCAAAGCTAAGAGCTTGGGTACCATCTTAGACAACACCTTATCCTTCATTCCTCTTATTAACAACACAATAAAAACTGCTTATTTTCATTTTCGCAATATCAAACGGCTCCGCCCCACCCTCAGTCAACACTCCACTGCTATTTTGGTCCACAGCCTGGTCACCAGTCGCATCGATTACTGTAATGCCCTCCTCTCTGGTCTCCCTTTAAAATCACTCAACAAGTTACAGTTAGTCCAAAATTCAGCTGCCCGGATAATCACCAAGACCTCCACCTTTGATCACATGACCCCTGTCCTGCAGCAACTTCACTGGCTCCCTGTCAAATACAGAATTGACTATAAGATACTTCTTCATGCCTTTAAAGCCATCCATAATCTCGCTCCCCCATATCTTTCTAATCTCCTCCACATTGTCACTCCCACTCGCTCTCCCGATCATCATCTTCACCTTCCCTGTCTGTTCCTCGCACTCGTCTCAGTACTATGGAGCCAGAGCTTTCAGCCACTCAGCTCCAAAACTCTGGAACGCTCTACCGCCTGACCTCCGCAATATAAACTCCTTCTCAACCTTCAAGTCTCAACTCAAAACTCACATGTTCCGCCTGGCTTGCTCACTGCAACTGTCCTCCTTCCATCTACTCTTTTTAGTCTATTATCCATTGGACTGCTCCGACTCTACCTTTGGGAATTACTCTTAGCATTTATTTCTTGTTGTTTGTATTGCTTGCTGTTCCCTAACCCTAATGAAAAGGTGACTGGCTGCCAGTCAACTTCAGGGTTCATTTCAAGATCCTGGTTCTGGTCTATAGGGCCTTACATGGACAAGCACCATCTTACATTGGTGATCTTCTTAGTCCCTACACCCCCAGCAGGTCCCTGAGGTCCAGTGATCAAAGCCTACTGGTTGTGCAGCACCAGGCTAAAGGTCAAAGGTGACAGATCATCTGCTGCTGTGGCCCCCAGACTCTGGACCTCTCTCCCCCTGAGCCTGAGATCGGTGGACTCAGTGGTCTCCTTTAAACTCACCTGTTCAGGTTTGGTGGGACCTCCATCACCCTCTCCTTATTCCGCCTTTCCTCGAAATCCACTGATTTCCCTCTTTCCTATTAATTTTCTCTCTCCCTTTCCTTACAATATTATTCTTTTCTAATCACAATTTTTAATATTTTCTCTCATTTTAAACACATTTTTAATCATTTAAAAAAATTATTTTTTATACATTAAATTATTTTTTGTACTCATGATTTTTTTTTGAGAGGTCCTGCTGTAAAGACTCTGACACGAGTCAGTGACTCGATGCGACCTGCTGGGTTCCTGATATAGGAAACTTGTTACTGATTGGCTGAATGACCTGACCTGTACTAGAATGTTTACTGTGTGAAGGTCCTTGAGACGACTTGGCGCTTCATAAATAATCTTAAATTTAATTGAATCAACAGTTCCTCTGACAGAAGCTTCGTCTCTCCTCACTGCTGTTAGGAGCACGCACACACACACACACACACACACACACACACACACACACACACACACACACACACACACACACACACACACACACGTTTTCTCCCAGTTTAAAGTTGAATTTAACATAAACCCAGGTCACCCTGGCAGGCCCGGAGTGGCTAATCGGGAGGGTCTGGAGAATTCCCGGTGGGCCGCGCGATGTTTGGGCCGCATGGGCCGGTGCTCTCGTTTTTGTTTTATCATTTTGTTTTTATTTTTTGGTGCCGGTGTTCAGTCATGGCACCGAGGCCGCCGGGCTGATCACATACGCTCCTCCCGGCTGTCTACCTGCAGGCTGCAGCTCGTTTTCTTTTTCCCCCGTATGCGCCTGTGCGCACCACGTGACCACGCAGTTGACGGAAAGATGGAAAGTAGAAAGAGCAAGGGTGGCGCGGAGAAGGCAAGAATTAAAAAGAGGAAAGCGCTGGAAACAGATGCAGATAAATGTGCAAAAATGAGCACCTTTTTTTCTCAAACAAGCTCGCGGTCTTTAACTTCCAATGAAGATAAAACAGGTAAGGCAAGTCAAGATGTTAAACTTTACCGGCTGCAAATCACCATTCAAGTTAATTAAGCATCAATAATGAATTATATGGCATCATGACATAACGTTATGTAATATAATTAACAGTATGATGTGACTGATGCCACCAAACTGTCTTGTAGCCCCTCAGAGTCAAACACAAGATCCAGTAGGCCTAATAAGCACCAGGCAGAAGCCCACAGTTCCAGAGCGGGCATGTACAGGTAGGATTACTTATTGAGTCAGTGAACTGAATATTATTAAAATTTATATGATGAAAACTATCCTGGCTCTATATGAAAGTGTCCTAAAATGTGTAGCGTTATGGATTTATGCTCTTTTATGAAAGAGGAACCATGCTACGTATTAATTCGGAATATTAATTTTAATAAATCAATAACCAAATGTTATATTGTTCAGAAGACTCAAAGGTTGTTTTCATCCATAAACTGCCGATAATATCTGAGTGTCTGTGTTTCAGTTCAATGAGGAAACCAGTTTGACGTTTAAAAGTTTTAATTCTTCAAATTAAACTAATGATTTTGAAATTGACAAACAGGAAATACAATCAACATTGATAACTTTGTGGGACAATCTTTTTAACAGTTGATATGCTGTTAATGCTCAAATAGACCTTCTGTAGGTGAATGAAGATTGAGAGTGATATGATGTGATTATGGATGCGTGTGGGTGCCAAGTGTAGTGAGAATTGAACATGAGATGAGATGAATGCATGTGTGCATCTGATGTTGCTTCAGGAAGAAACAGGTGTCTGAGTGAAGTGATGGTTTGAATAAACTTAGGTTTAGTGGAAAAGATGCATCAAAACGCTATCTGTCGTGTTTTGCCTCACCGAAAATCGGACCCTCTGTTGGACCCGGGACGTCACCTTAGGATGTTTCATCCAGGTCACCTTGGCTGGCAAAGAAGACAAAGATGCGCTGCGACCCGGTCCAGAGTTGCCCCTCGGTACACGTTGATGGTAAAGCGTTTTGTCGACGCGCTTTCTTAAGTTAATTCACTCAGAAATCAAAAGACTCGGTAATGAGTCTGCGTTAGAAGTTGCGATTCAGCTATTCTGCCTGGCGTGGCAGAAACAGCGTGAGAGAAGGGGGGAAGAACGAGCCAACAGGCTCTGCCCCCCCTTTGGTTTTCAGGTCTGTTCTCTCTCGTTGTCCAACACGAACTGGTGCAAAAGACTGAAAACTTACCAAAAACCTTTCTCTTCTCAAAGCAAAAACATGTGCGTCATCAAATGTGTCTGGATTTTACTGTGGGAAGGTGTGTGTGAATGTTTGTGTGCTTGAGTGTGAAGGTCAGTACCAAACATTCAACATTATCTACTTAAGTGTGGATTCATTAATCCATTATAATTACCCCAAAGCATACTAGTCATTCATTTGATTAAACACATTTATAATGAGCAAAATGATAATGGTTATTTTAACATTAAAATCAAGAAAAAGAAGTTTAAACTTTATGTTTTGACTTGGTCTGGGTACAACTCATGTAAACACATCTTCTGGTAGACTGCAGGTGGTTGATGTTATGGTTTCCTCCCAGACTCGCTGGCGTTCAGGTCTTAATCTGTGGGTGAAAGTTCTCAGCGACCCAGCTTTGACACAGCTGAGTCCAACACCACCTTTGTGATAGAAAACCCATATTTCCTCACGTTACATACCCCCCCTTTTTGTGACGACATGGTGGTCAAGCACAGGCCACCTGCCGTTACAAACACAATAACGTGATGTACTCGTGAAGGTAGACATCCCAGATGAAGGCAGGAACGATGAAGCGTCTCCACAGGTCTCGTGTAGAAGGGAGTCTATCCTGATCAGATGATTAAGGCCAAAACTGTTGCAATCATTGTAAAGTAATCCACTTAGGAAATCTTGAAAGCAGAGCTATGTCAATAGCAGTTAATTTCATCAGCAATAATGCAAAGGTATGCAAAGGATAAGCAGCTCGTGTGTCACACGGAGCTGGGCAGATGAAGTATTCCTCAGGCGTAGTCCAGGCGAAGTCCAGTGACGACCTCGACCCATCTCGAATCACGACCGAAACCCCATGCGACAGAAAACCAGTTGAAGGATGGTGAAGACGGCCCCTCTGATGGGATGTAGTCCATACGAGCTCGGAGAAGGAGACAAAGTGAGACAGCCCACACGACAGATAGCATTTGATGCAAAACAAAGAAATCAATCAAAACCTATCTATGGGTGCCTCTGGGAAAATGTGGGTGCCTTTTGTGAATTATCTAAAGAAGAAATGTTCTGCACCCTGTTCTACGTGTCATGTAAAAACGTGATGCAGTGAAAACACAAATAAAAGAAAGTAAATCCTAACTGATATGTGAAACTCAGCAGGCTGCACTAATTAAAGGCATGTATATAAAAGAAATAATAATCATGAAAATGAAGGGCAAATTGGCTTGTGGCCCTTTAAGGGAAATAGCAACAAAATAAAATTAAATTTGTAATCAAATATAATCATGCTACACAAAGCACTAATAAAAAGATAGAGATGTAAATCAGTTCTAAAATGTAAATCAGTAGGTTAGTAATCCCTAAAGATGTGAGTTAGTAACAGGACCCTGGCTGGAGGCAGGTAACCTGAAAAAAAAAAACCCAAAGGATATCACATTTGTTAAAAATTCATCCCACAAACGAGAGAATTTGTAACGGTCCACCAGTCAGTGGAAAAGAATCCGGTCAGAATAGAGTCGGTCAGAATAGAGTTTTGAATCTGGTATTGCGGACCCACAGAGACACGAGTTTGGACGTATCTGTGGGAGCAGGCTCATAAGCGACTTGGTTATCAAACTGTTTGTATCTGGTGTTACGAACCCACAGGGAAACTTGTTTGAATTTACCTGAGGGTTCCATTTGGAACTGGAGCGAAGCTGATGGTTTAGCTGTTAGATCAGAACCTGATTTTACCTGCTCAAAGTTGTGTTGCAGCTTTACGGAGGCGACTTTGTTGTGATCAGAAATGGTAGTGAACTGGAAATGCGAAAATGATGCTCGCAAAGCAGGAGGAGGCTCCCCACCCCCTTTTTGTTTCTCAAACTTATGCCGTGTCTGTGAGACAGGAGAAGCATAACAAAGAACAGTTCTTAAGCTCTTAAAAGCGCTATTACCAAGAAGATGCACATTGTCACCTGAATCGTGCTGAAAGAGTAGGTGTTCAGATGTCCAAAGACCTGGAGGTGTTGGACTTGGAGGTTCTGAAAAGGAGTGATCCAAGGATGGTTGTGTCACGGGTGTCAAAGCAAACCTAGCTATGTTTAGAATCAGATACAGACATGTCGCTAGCTTTAGGAACATGGTCTGTCCTGAAAACTGAAACCAAGAATACTTTATTCCCAAGAATGATGGAGGTTCCCACACAGAATCAGAAAAACCCGGTTTAACCAGAGTATTTACAGACTGACTAGAACTCCGCCCCGTAGAAGGTGCAGCACCTAACTCCGGGTCGGAGGTCAATGTTGTCAGCTGAATTGGTGGAAGGTCAGTGTCGATTTCTGCAATGACCCGCCCGCTCGGAGGAGGCGTTCCCCCGAACCGGTTGAAGTCCGCAACGGAAAACTCAGAGCCACTCAGCACCCCCCCTTTGTCAGGAGGGGCCCCGAGCAGAGCATCACTGCACGCACCTACACCTCCCGGGCCGGGGTGCCCTCCCGAGCCCGTGAGAGAGGTGTGCGCAGCAACCACCGAGCCACCTTTAATATCGCCACTGACCACAGGACTGCTGGAAACCGCAGGGTTTTCTGCGTCGTCGTGGTCACCTGTAAGAGAAATCACAGGAAAGAGAGCACAGAGGCCCGAGACTAAGTCACACCCCTGTGAAAGGAGAAAGGAATTGGCCACCGTATTAGCAGAGGTCACAAACTGAAAAGTGACAAGGTCATTCACATAAAGGTCAAGATGTCCGGGCACAAACCCCTTAAATGGCATGGTAGCTCCGTCCGGAGACCACAAGTGTTTCACGGCGGCTGACTTTTCCATCACGCCCCGATAAAGAAGCTGGTTTGTGCATGAGGCGGACTGACGAGTAAAACAGACCTCTGCCTGAAGCGGTGGGTCACAGCCTGAAGATTTCACACCCATGCTGGAGAGATGTTCAGCCTTTAACATGGATGACAGAGGAGAAGCATTAGGAACCAAAGGGTTAAGCACAACCTGTTTGTCAGAGAGGTTAACCATAGGCTCAAGAGATTTATTCAGCTTAAAAGTAGCAGAGAAAGTGTTGTTTATTTCAAACCTTGATGTTGATGGTGGGTTTTTGACCCCCTGGAAGAAATAAAAGTAAAGAAAAAGCGTTATGACTGTAAACAGCATGTTGCATGAATTCACGTCATGAATTGCAGACCAGAACCACCTCCGACCCAGTGCAGCTGGCACCGAACCGCAGCCACTAGTCCCCACTGCTCCCGACTGGCGGCACCCGCCTAATACGGGCCCGTTCGGGCGGGTTGAGGGACCAGCGATGCTCGGCCGGTGAATGTCCTGCGTCTTGGCATGTTCTGGAAGCAGAACGTCAGAGAACCTTACACCAGGTGTAACAGTGCAAGAAAGATTTTGTCGTGTCTCGTCCATCTCCCATTAAGTTCAGAGCAACTCGCGTTTCTACCTTCTGAGCCGACGTAAAACTCCGGGCAGATTCCTTAATATGTCTCACACAACAAGGACTGTCCGTAGCCTACTTAACTTTATGACACAGGGTAAAACAAGGAATTGTTGATAGAGAAATGAATACACACTACTTCACAAGATGGAAGAAAAAGGCATGGAACCGAGCAACGGAGGCTGTGAAAGCCGACCCGTTCACCGGTCCAAAATAAAAATAATAAAAAAAATAACAAAACCTACGCTGCCGTGTTGGTATCAGACGGACAAACGTAGCAAAATGTAGATTCTACACACCGTAGCGATTTACAAGAATCACCGCCAATGCGGGTTTTGTGAGGACACAGACTGACTGTGCCAGAAATGATGACAATTTAACGGGACGCGTGCCCTATTTGTCTAACTGTGGCGCTAGCTTAGCTCCCCGGCCAGGCCTAGCGTTCTTTGTCTGTAGCGGCCAGACTGAAATTTCCCCGATTAACAAGTAGGCATCTCGCTCCACTTTTAATACGGACTTTAAAAAAAACGTACGCAATCTGAATGCAGTAACGCGTAACGGCTGTGCCTCGCTTTACGACGTTTACCGAGCAGTCAAG